CACATGGCTGACACTGACAAAGGATCTACAAACTGAGGTACAGGGTCTCAGGATAAATCCTGAGGGGATTTGACTGACCTTAACAAATACAATAGCTACAATTCTTGTTACATAGGTGTTGCTTTATCTTGCTCTTAACCATCCAGCAGGAAAGTATAAAAACAAAGTAAAACATAAAGTCATGTTGTAATATTGAGCTTTAGGGAACTCAGGTCAACAACTTCTGACATTGCTAGTCAAGCTGAAGACCCAATACTATTATGGACTACTAGATTATTTTGGAATATTTTCTTGAGTTCACACACCTATAATAGTTAAATGACGATCCAAACAAAAAAGGGGATTCAGATACACATAAATGACCATTTTGTATCTAAGGATTGAAAATGGTTAGGATAAATATACAACTACATTCTCTTAATTCAGTGAATAGAAGGATTTGTTCTAATAGTGTTTGTAAATAGGATATCATGTCTGCATCTTTTACAAGAAATAACCACTAGGAAGACAGTATACAATGTGGCAATTATTGAAAGTGTCCTACTAGTTTGATTGGAAAACTGTCTCATTGGTTTTTGTCATTGAAATATTGGAAAAAATTAAAAAATAATTTATGTTTTAAAAAATTACTCTCAGTATTTTTCGTTTCAAAGCATATTGCTGATATATGAATTTTTTGTAGGTCAACTTTTGACCATCACTAAGCCTTACTATATAGATCAGATGCACAGGAGTGTTGTGGAAGATATGTGGTAAAGGTGGGTGGAAAAGTTAGCATCTGCTCAGAAAAGTATGCAAAAATAACACATTAGAAGTTTCCTTTTTATTACTCTTATATTCTCCAATTCCAAAGGAACTATTTAAATATAAATAGATATCATTTGGAGTATTGTATTCACTATATAACTGTCTTTCATTTCTAATTTATAGGAAATCTCCTTGGAACTGGAGGCTGCAGTGCATGAAAAAGAAGAAATGAAGAGTAGGGTTCATAATTACATAACTGAGGTGTCCCGATGGGAGAGCTTAATGGCTGCTAAGGTGAACAGCATTGCTTAGGTTTTGTTGAAGACTTAGCTCTTCATGTTTATTTATTCTGCCTGGTAGATCTTGCCTGCTGCCATATTTCCCATAGGTCTTAGTATAGTCCCTACACGGATATCTGATGCTTTTAAATTAGAACAAAATCCTTAACATTAGTTTTTATGACACAGGTGTTGCTATGAGTGACAGTTTCCTAATTTAGAAATCATTTCATCATGTTTAAACTAGGAACAAGAAAATCAAGATTTATTAGATAGATTTCAGATGCTTCATAACTGTGCTGAAGACTGGGAGATCAAAGCCCATCAAGCAGAAGGAGAAAGCAGCTCAGTTCGTCTGGAACTTCTTTCTATTGACACAGAGAGAAGACACCTTCGAGAAAGAGTGGATCTACTAGAAAAAGAAATTCAGGAGGTAATACATTCATTTGTCTAGTAAAGGCATTATTTAGATAAATAGAAAACATTCAAAGATACTTTACCAAAGTGAGGGTATAGCATTGGTGTAATCAAGTTCAGTGGTAGTGTTTTGTCATGAGTTCTGATAACTGTGGCAATTAAATCCATGGTGAGCAAGTGTTCTACCATAAACTACAACCCTAACCTCTACTTTTTTTTTATGTATTTTGTACAAAGTCTACAGGGTTTCATTACACAGATTGGACTTGTAGTGATCTGCTTGTTTTCAGCCTCCCAAGAGTTGAGATTACAGGTGCTTGCCACCACACTGTCTCATTCACTGTCTCAGCACACCCTGGGGCGGGGCCAGCACAGCATGCCAGGGATCAAACTGCTGTTGCTGCACTCTGCCTACACAGGCACTTTACTCCCCTGAGCTATCTGGTCAGCCCTTAGTTTTCATTTTCAGTATGAAACTAGGTCTGCTGAGTTGCCTATTCTGGCCTCAAACTTGCAGTCCTCCTAAGTAGGTGGGCTTGCAGGACATACCACCAGGCCTAGCTATCTCCACTACTTTTCATCTATGCCAACCAAAACTCTGAACACATTAGATACTGTACTGGCGCTCTTCTTCCCTACCCTAGGCATTCACTATTCTGTTTTCTGTCTTTATGGGTTTGACTTATCTTGGTTTCTCAGATAAATGGAATTACATAGTATGTGTCCTTGTGACCAACTTTTTTCACTTAGCCTTAAGATTCATTTTTCCTCCAATAGTCATCCATGTTATAGTATGTTTCATTACTTTTCAAGATTAAATGATGTGCAATTATAAGGATATTGCATTTTGTTTATCCATCTTTTGGGGGACGTTTGGTTTGCTTCTACCTGTTGGATCTTCAGAGTAATGCTGCTATGAACATGGGTAAGCAAGTATCTACTGAAGTTCTTGTTTTCAGTTTTTCTCTACCCTAATATGGAATTGATAGATCACGTATTCTGTGTTTAATTTTTTGAAGAGCCATCAAAGGTATAGGGACTGTGTCATGTTATATTCACTCTAGCCATGTAAGAAGATTCCAGTTTCTACACAACCTCACCAACATTTATGGTTTTTCTCCTTCTTCTCTTTCCTGTTTCTCTTGTAAGTTATCCTAACGTAAATGAAGTAGTATCTCATTTGTATTTTCTCAATGATTATATGGTGTTGAACATCTTGTCATGTGCTTATTGATTGTATTTTTTTTTACAAAACTATTTTCCATTTTTAAAACGTTTTTTGATGTTGAGTTGTGGGGGTTCTTTACTGTTCTAGAGATTTATACCTTACTAAATATGCAACTTGGAAACTTTTCCCATTAAATAGGTCTTCTCTTCATGCTGTTGATAGGTTTTTTAATTACATGTAATATTTATACTCATTTATAGAATATGATACATGTGTACAGTATACAATAACCGAAGTAGGGTAATTAACCATTTTGTTTCCACAATCTGAACATTTCTATGTGTTGGGAATCTTGAGATTCTTTGCTTCTTGTTTTCAAATATATATTAATTGCTGTAGACTAATTATACCACAGTGCTGTAGAACATTAGAACTAATTAGTCCTCTAATAGTAATTTTTAAATTATTTAGTGTTTGCACTACATAATGTTAACATTCCTCTTGTGTAGTTGGTGTAAGTACATACCCATTTTCATTCCTTTTTTCTTGTTCTCTCTAGCCCTTTCATCTTAATTCCCCTTTCCATTTGAGAAAGAGCTCCCTACTTATCTTTTGTTTGCTCTTTATTTATACTTTAGTTTTCTTATATAAGAGAAACTTTAGTATTTTGGTATGTTCAAATGTATTTTGCTTAACACTATCATCTTAGGATGTATCCATTTTGCTACAAATGACTCAGGTTTATCTTTCTTTATGGCAGTCATATGCCATTGGGTATAGATATCATATTTTTTAAAAATTTTATTTATTTGATACAGGGTCTTACCATGCAGTCCAAACTTGTGATCCCCCAGCCTCAGGCCTCCCTTACTGCCAGGATTACAGGCATGCACCACTCAGGGCTGGCATGGCATGCAATACTGGGAGTTGGACTTAGGTCTTTGTGCTTGCCAGGCAGGCACTTAGACCACTGAGCTATCTCCCCAGCCCTAGATACCACATTTTATCTATTCATCTGTTGATGGACATATAGGCTGCCTCTAAGATTAAGCTATTATTGGAAAAACTGGTTTTCCACTTGCCAAAGATTAAAATTAGACTTATGTCTGTCACTATGCATTAAATGAAAATCAGAATGGAACAAAAAGATAAATATTAAAACAAATGCAAAATCTGCTGGAAGAGAGAATAGATAAAACTCTTGAAGACATAAGTGTAGGCAAAGACTTTATGAACAAAACCCCAGTCTGTACAGGGAATGTTACAAAGAATGAACAACTGAGATCTCATCCTCTTAAAAAAACTCTTAAGAGCTGGCGAGATAGCTCAGTGGACTAAGCACCTGCTTTGGCAGGTGCAGGGGCTGGGGTTCGATCCCAGGTCTTGCATGCCTCACCAGCCCCACGCCCAGGGCACACTTAGCTGGTGACCGAGTCTGGGCATAGTGGCGCACACCTGTAATTCGAGAGCAGAGGAGGCTGAAAATAGGAGTATCACTTACAAGTCCAAGCTGCATAGTGAGACCCTGTACCAAATACATACATGAAAAAAAAAAGCTCTTGACAATAAAAGAAATCATGAACAGAGCAAAGAGACAACCCACAGAGTAGAAAAAAAAATTTTTCCAGCTGTTCTTCAAAGGACAAATATCCAACTCAAAAAAAAATCAGATTCCCTCCCTCCAAATTTAATGACCCAGTCCAAATATAAGCATCTGAAATGAATAGACAGTTCTCAGATGAGGAAGTACAAATGGGAAATAAATACTTGAAAAAATGTTCAACATTATTGGTCACGCAATGACCAATGCAAATTAACACTGAGATTCCATCTCACCCCAGAAAGAATGGCTGTTTTCAAAAAAATCAACTAATAACAAATGCTGGCAGGGCTATAGGCAAAAAGAAATCCTTCTCCACAGTTTAACTTTTTCCTTTCCAATTCGTATTCCTTTTGTTTCTTTTGTCTAATTGCTCTGGGTAATGTTTCAAGAACTGTATTAGATAGGAGTGGTGATAGTGAACATCCTTGTCTTGTTCTTGATTTTAGAGTGAAAGCTATCGGTTTTTGCCCATTTAGTTTGTTATAGATGGCTTTTATCAATTGAGATGAAGACCATCTATTCCAGTTTTCTGTAGGTTTTTTTCTTTTTTATCATGAATGGGTGCTGGACTGTACCAAATGCTTTTTCGAGAAGCATCTTAACAAGATCTCGTGGTTTTTGTCCTTGGTTCTGTTATTATGATATACTACATTTATTGATTTGTATATGTTGGACCATTCTTGCATCCCTGGGATGAGTCTCACTAGGTCATGGTATATAATCTTCTTGAAAATTTATTGCATTCTGTTTGCCAATATTTTACTGAGAAATTTTGCATCTATGTTTATTAGGGAGATTGGCCTATAGTTCTCTTTTTTGCTTACATCTTTTTCTGATTTTGGTTTTCACGATAATACAGGAATGAGTTTGGGAGTATTGCTTCCCTTTTAATTTCATTGAGGAGTTTGAAAAGTAATGACATTAGATTGTCTCTAAATTTTTCATACAGTGACTCTGTCAGGACCTGGGCTTTTCTTTGTTGGTAGGTTTTTTATCACAACTTCAGTTTCATTGATTGATACTGGATTATTTAGAAGTTTTTTATCTTCTTGGTTCAGCTTTTTATAATTCGTATGTAGGTAGGAATCTGTCAGTTTCTTATGTTTTCCATCTTATTTGAATATAGGTTCTTGAAGTATTATTGATGATGTTCTGGATTTTTGCAGGATCCACTGTGATTTCACCCTTTTCATTTCTTTTTTTTTTTCTTTTTGGCGGAACCAGGGATTTAACTCAGGTCCTTGCACTTGCCAGGGAAGCACTTATTCTACTGAGCTATCTCCCTGGTCCCACCCATTTCATTTTTAATTCCACAAATTTGAGTCTTGTCTTGTCTTGTCTTGTCTTGTCTCTTTCTTTCTTTCTTTCTTTCTTTCTTTCTTTCTTTCTTTCTTTCTTACATTTTAGGGAACGATGTTCAGTGTCTCACTGATAGATCGGACTCCTAGTGTTCTGCCTGTTTACAGCCTCCCAAGAGCTGGAATTACAGGCATGTGCCACCACACCCAGTCTCAATTGTCATCTCAGTGTACCCTGGGGGCAGGATTGGTACAGCTGGCCTGGGGATTGAACCCCAGGCCCCTGAACCTGTTTGCAGGAGCTTTAATCCGCTGAGCTATTTGGCTGGCCCTTCTTTCTTTTTTTGATAAGCGTGGCTAGGAGTTTGTTGAAGTTATTTAATCTTTAAAGAACCAACTTCAATTCATTGATTCTTTTTATTGCTTTCTTAATCTACATTGCATTACTTTCTGCTCTGATTTTTATAATTTTCTCCTTCATCTGTGCTTTGGATTTAATTTGCTCTTTTTGTAGTAGTTGGAGGTTCAGCATTAGGTTATTTGAGCTTGCTCTATTTTTCTGATGTGGGAATTTAGCACTATCAATTTCTTTCCTAAGACTACCTTGCATCTCATAAGTTCCAGTGTGTTGCATTGGCATTATCATTTAATTGTAGAACTGTCTGATTTCTTCTTTAATTTCATCTGTGACTTATTCATTGTTCAGAAGAATGTTATTTAATTTTCATGTGTTTGTGCAGGTTTTGTTCCACTTACAAGGATACAGTGACCATCTTTATCTCTCTTAATCAATCTTGGCTTGAAATTTACTGTATCTATAAATAGAATAGCTATCATTGATTTTTTTTCCCAAGTTCCTGGTGCATAGAGAATTGTTTCACATCGCTTGGCATTCAGTGAAAGAACTTCTTTTTTAATTAAATGTATTTCTTGTTGTCAGCATATTGTTGGATCTTTTATCTTGATCCAATCTGTCAGTCTGTTTCTTTTGATGAATGAATTGAGACCATTTACATTGATACTTATATCTGATATGTATTGACTTATCTCTTCCAAATTATTTTCCTGTTGTTGGGTTTCCTTTGGTTCAGCTTTATTTAATTGCTTACCTTGCCTGATGTATTCATTCTATTGGGGTTCATTGAGTTGTTGTCTTTTTATCTGTGTAGAATATGCTTCAAAACATTTTGCAGTGCTGGTTTCATGGTCATGGATTTCTTCAGGTGTTCTTTGTCATGGAATTATCTTATTTCTCCATCAACTGTGAAAGATAGTTTTTAACTTCAAAGATAGGTACATTAACCTGGGTTAGGGGTTGTTTTCTTTTAGAACTTGCAAAACTTCAGACAAGCTTTCCTGGAGTTAAGGGTTCATGTTAAGAAATCTGCTCTGATTCTGATAGGTTTTCTTTTATAGGTGATTTGTCTCCTTTCTCAAACAGCTTTTAATATTCTGTTCTTATTTTGAATGTTTTTAATCTTGAGTATTACATGGCTTGTTATAGTTTTTTTTTGTTGCTGTTGTTGTTTTTTTAGCATGGCTAATTGGAGTTCTATATGTCTCATTAACTGTCAGGTGTCAAATTCTTTTTCCATGCTTCGGAAAGTTTTCTGCCATTACTTCTATGAATTTTTTTTATGCCCTTTCTACTAGCTCCTGATTCTGTTTTATTGATTCCAGTCAGTCTTACATCACTTTTCTTTGCATCATCTAGCAACCATTGGATTGGGTGTGTGTGTGTGTGTGTGTGTGTGTGTGTGTGTGTGGTTCCTTGCTATTTTTAAAAACTCTTTCTTTTCATGTTGCTAACCACAATATATTCTAGATATGATATTCCATCCTCACATTGGTTGAATCTGCTGCATATACTTTCAATAGTTTTTTTTGTTTGTTTGTTTTGGTTTTTTTTGTATTTTAGGGAAGGGTCTACAGGGTGTTTGGGGTCTCACTACTACTAGATAAGGGGCCAGAGAGGTGGCTCAGTGGAATAAGTGCTTCCCTGACAAGCGCAAGGGCCTGAGTTCAATCCCCGGTTCCGCCAAAAAAAAAAAAAATACTACTATATAAGACTCATGGTAGTCCACCTGTTTACAGCCTTCAAGAGCTGGGATTACAGGCGCCCGCCACCACGCCATCTCAATTGCTGTCTCAGTACACCCTAGAATGGGGCTGGCACTACAGGCCCAGGGATTGAACCCTTGGCCCTGGGCCTGCTTGTAGGCACTTTAATCCACTAAACTATTTGGCCAGCCCTTTTCAGTAGAATTTTTAATATCCTGGGTATCTATTTCATAGATTCTATTTCTTTCCTATATTGGGTATTCATCGTTTTCGTCATTTTCCCAACTCCTCTGTTTTTTATCTGTGTCTGCTCTAGAGTACTAACCGTCTCCTTATTATGGCCATCATCTCTTTAGTTATCTCAGAATTTATTAACAGTTTGTTTTTTCTAGAGCCTCATTTGTTTGCTTTGTTACTTCTGCTTGACCATTTCAGAGTTCAGGTGCGTAGCTTTTGACATGTTCAAGGTCACTGCCTCCTAGTTTTGCTTAGGTAAGCTGTGGGTCTCAGGATGCACATTTCTTCCATCTCTTCTCATTTTCTGTTTTTTTAAAATTTATTTTCTGTGCCTACACTTGTAAATTGCTTATGGTACATAACTTTTTATTAGTATCAACAACTCTTTAGGAAGTGACTGATTTTCAGAGATATCCTCCAGGTATAGCAGGATTTTTGTGTTTGAGTATGTCACAAGAGCTTATTTCTTTAATTTATTAGGAATGAGATGTTTCTGGCTATTTGGCCTACCTCTTTATCTTGGTTATTTTTCTCATGTTGCTAGGACAAATACCTAGAGCCCAAAATTAAGAAAGGAAAGATTTATTTAGCTCAAAGTTTGTGGAGGTACCAGTCCATAATTATCTGGTTTCAAAGCAGGGTAGTATGGCAGAGGGTGACAGTACATGGTGGTGGAAGATACAAAAGTAGCAAGAGCTCAAGGGGACAAAAAGGTGGAGGCTGCCTACTTTTGAGTGGGTAGTAGAACTCACACCCATAATCCCAGGATTGGACTGTGAATCAATCACGAATTTTAGAAGCCCAGCCCCCTGACTGCATGGGGTTTTGGGGGCAACATCTAGACACAAACCATAACAGCCCTGGTTCTTTGATGCTGGCCTATAGTATTGTTTCTGACCCTGAAACAATCTCGGTCTTGGCATAGAAGGAAAAACAACTGAATAGAACAACTGTGTCACCTTGACTAAATTAGTACAATCACTAATAACAATAGGATTGAGTGCAGCTTCGAAAATGCCAAAGCGTGGTAGCTATTAATTTACCACCTTTAACCATATGAATAAGATTTATAGTTATATAACAAAGTCTGAAAAAAGCTAAAAAGTTATATACAGTGAATATCTCCTCAATTGAGCAATTTTACTCTCTAGTGAGAAAATTTAAAAGGGATAGGAAGATAAAATAGAGAAACAAAAGGAGTAAAAGAAATTTGAAGTAAGATTGAAGGACAGAGCAAGATTTCCTAAACTTTTGGAGACTGGTGAAGAAGACAGGAAGGAAAAAAAGGAAGAAACAAAAACAAGAAAGCAAAACAAACTAAAAACAGTGTCCACACTCATGAGAAAGCAAGCATATACAATTAAAAAGAGATTTCTGTGGTTTCAAGCCTGTGTTCTAGGGTCTATAGTTTTGTGGTAGTGTCCACATCAGGGTGTATCTCCGATGTCAGCAGTAGACTAAAGAGGCAGACAGAGCCCAGATCCATATTGTATCCTAGCAAACCTGCAGTAGCGTTCAGTCAGGGTCCAGTATAATCCCAACAAACCAGCAGTGGTACTGGTTCAACTCTGTAGAAATTCAGGCTGATTCTGGTCTCTGCTTGTGGGATTGTGGTCTGAGTTACTCAGGTCACACAGTATGGATGTTTTTTTGTTGGCTTGACCTCAGCTCCCTGATCCTAGCCCTGTTCCAGGGCTATACTTCACATGACACCGGCAGCCCTGAGATGAAACCAACCCATGGCTGTTGGTAGTCCCAGGTTCAGTTGATCCCTCCCCAAAATGGCGGCCAGTCTATTACCCACTCCTGGGGATATTTAAACTGGGGTTATGCACCAGCTGCTGCACACCACTGCATCCACTGCTCTGTTCCCAGTATGTTTCTCCGTGGAAGCCTCCAGGTATCCCCACCATCACCATACCACTGTATGCTTGAGCTTCTTCTCATGCCATGAACCAGGAGTTAGGGAAAATGCACAGTTAGCCCTGGAGGTGGGAATCAGGGAGAGAGCACCATTTGCCACCTCCGTCTTGTGCCTTGAAGTCTGTCACCTCGTTTCCCATGGGCTCCAGTTCTTCCTTCAGAACTTTCCTGTGTCATGGGCATTACCTCCCTCCTTTTACCCAAGTTGCTATACTGTAGCATCTGGCCTCTCAGTCTGAGTCTGATTTGCCACGCTCACCACTCTGCCATCATCCTGGCCTAAAAAAAAAAAAGAGAGAGAGAGAGAACAGGTTTATTTTGGCTCAGTCCATGTTCTCTGGCTCAAAGGCAGAAATAGAGTGGCAGAGGAGGATGAAGAAAGAAAATATTCAGCTTATAGCAGCCAAGAATCAAGAGAGACATGTGAGGATCGAGGATGAAAATATACCATTCCACGTCACACCTCTGTGACCTGCCCCTTATGACCAGGCCCTGCCTCGGTTTTTTAGTTTTGTTTTTTGCTTTTTCTGGGAGTGGGATTGTTTTAACTTTGGTTTTGTGAGACAGTCTCTCATTGAGTAGTTCAGGTTGGCCTTGAACTCTCTGTGTAGTCCAGGCTAGTCTTGAAATTATGGTAATACTCCTGCCTTAGCCTCCTGAGTGCTGGCCTTATAAGCATGTGCCTGCATGTCTCATTTAAAGAAACTGTTGAACAAAAAAGGAGTCAGAACTATCATGATTTTGACATATTTTTGACCTGTTGAAGGAATATTCTCTGAAGATGAGGAAAGTGTACAATAGTATAACCCTAACTTAAGGAATGCTTTTTAATCTTCAAGAGTTTCTCAAACTATTCTTTCAGTCTTTTGTTCTTAATCATTGTTCATATTTTTAAGGAAATGGGCTTTTTTTTCTTTTGGAAATGAGCTTTTCTTATAATTAGTTTGAGGGGAGCTTTTATTTACTTGCTGTATTAATGTTGGAAAATTCATGTTTACTTTTCTGCCACTGTTGATACTTAAAAGGGATAGGAAGATTAAATAGAGAAACAAAAGAAGAGAAAGAGATTTGAAGTAAGATTGAAGGACAAGGAAGGTTACCTAAGCTTTTGGAGACTGGTGAATAAGACAGGAAGGAAACCTGGAAAAAACAAAAACAAATCTTCCTAGGTCAACATTAGATTTCCAATGTTGATTCATTTCAGTGAAGTCTGTTAAAATAATCACACTTTTCAAGTGTGAAATTTGGAATTATAGTTTATGTAAATTATATTCAACACTCAAAACATTTAGCTTTAAAATAACCCCCCGTTTTGAAATTTAAAACTGAACTAGAAATGGTTGGGAAATTGTGGATGTAAAACATTATAACAAACAATTTATAAAGGAAAAACATAAATTCAAAAGTCCCTCATAGACATAACACCCTTACACAATAATTTTCACCTGTGCATCTTCTATATATGTACATGAGGTAACTAGTTATCATGATTAATAATTATATGTCATTTCTTTTGTGCAATAAATAGGCCATCTTTAGGCTATTTTCTGAGAGTACTTTAAAACATGCAGTGGCTCTCTAAAGTGAAATTATGGCGCAGTTATTACATTATTGCGCACATGTAAGTCCCTGAAATTATTGAGTTTAACTTTTTACCTATTTTATTTTTTTTAGCATATAAATGCACACCATGCTTATGAATCTCAGATCTCATCGATGGCGAAAGCCATGGCTAGATTAGAAGAAGAGCTGAGACGTCAAGAAGAGGAGAAAGCAACAGTGCTAAGTGACTTGTCTTCTCTTAGAGAACTTTGCATTAAGCTTGATTCAGGCAAAGATGTTATGACCCAACAATTGAATTCTAAAAACCTTGAGCTGGAGAGGGTAAGAGCTAGAGAAATTGTGTTTGTGTATTGTTTCCTTGACCCCCACTTGGTTTTACTTTGCCATTCTCTGCCCAACATATTTGCTCCCCTTTAGGATAGCTACTTTTGGCTGTAGGCTTTTGACAGCCAGGTTGGACTCCAGATTCCTTGACAAGATTTGTCTAGCAATAGTAGTAATAAAATTAGGTGTTCTGGTTGGGCATAGTGTTGTATGCCTGTAATCCCAGCATTCAGGAGGCTGAGGCAGGAGGGCAGGAGGATCACCATGAGTTCGAGACCAGTCTGGGATGCAAACTGAGTTGAAGGCCAGCCCACACTATAGAGTGAGACTCTGTTTCAAACAAATAAACTAACTAACTGCTCTGTGTTTCAGAATAGACTGATATTTAAGGGATTCATAATTGTATATCTCCTATATCCTCTGTTTAAAAGTAAGGTGTAAAAAAAAATTAAATACAAGTAAGGCATGAATGAAAAATTAAACTGTTCATTGCTTTTTTAAACTGTATTTAGTACAGAGTCTCACTATACAGATCAGACTCATAGTGATCCTCCTGTTTTTAGCCTCCCAAGTGCTGTGATTACAGCATTTGGTGGTGCACACTACCTCACCCAGTCTCAATTGCCATCGCAGCTCTCCCCAGGGGCAGGGCCAGAACAGCAGGCAGGGGATCAAACCCCAGCTGCTGTGCTCTGCCTAAGGAGGCACTTTAACCCACTGAGCTATCTGGCCAGTCCTGTTCATTGCTTTTTTTTTTTTGGCAAAACTGGGGAGCATTGCTTCTTAAGTAGAATATTTTTTTCCTAATAAAATCTCAACCATTTAAATTTTGCTTAAAATTTAAATGTGCTGGAACTTCTCATTAAACAGAGGCAGTACTTTAAACTTGCTAGTGTGGGCTTTCAAATGTGAGTGTTTCTGAGTGTCGTTAATCTAATGGCATGTTTGCAGGAACTGAGAAGCTATGATAGTGGCCTGACTATGTAGTCAGAGTGAACAGATTTAAGAAACCAGAGACCCCTATTGTTGTTGAGTGGCTACATTTTAGGATTTGATGTTAACAGGGTGGCATAAATGAAAAAGTGTTTGAGGATCAGAATATATCTTTCAGCCAAATAAGCCCTTAGTAAAAGGAGCAAAGCTCATTTTGAAAACAAGATCTTTTTCTTATAATTAAGGAAATTGTTCAAAATCACTGCTCAATTCCAGTACTCAGAATGAAGCAACTGATGGGTAAGCAGCTCTATAAAACTTTATTGTCAGGTATAATTTTTCAGAATAAATCTAAAATGGCACTAAATTGGTCTTTGTTTTTCCTATAGGCTCTGGTAGAATTAGAAAATGTAAAATCAGAATCAGAACTGTTAAGAAAACAACTGTCAAGTGAGAGATACACAATTAAAAATCTTGAATCATTGTTGGCTACAAATAGAGATAAAGAATTTCATTCTCATTTAACCTCCCACGAGAAGGATACAGAAATTCAGCTACTTAAGGACAAGTTAACCCTTTCAGAAAGCAAAGTGTAAGTGCCATAAATCAATGTGAAGAAGATCATTTGTCAGAGATAGCTTTTCTATTCTGGGGGAGGAAGGGGAAATGAAAGGTAGTAGAGACCCAAAATATTTGATCAGTGTGTGTGCTGCTTTTGGAAATTTGGAGGAATAGCTCAGGGGAGAGAGCTTGTGTTGGAGACGAGAACAGGGGGGAAGCGTCAGGAAAAGTTGGTGTTGGGGAAGTGGTCAGAACACACAGGAAGCAAAGGACGCTTCAGGATGGGGAGCAGTGCTGGAGCTCATGCTGCAGGTGAGGAAAAGCACCGGGAGAAGACAGTGCTGTGACCATCGTAAACGTATTGATTGCCTTTCAGAAAGTCCATGATGATGTCATTTTAGAATAGAGAGATTCTGATGTATCATTGGTAAGAGAAAAGGAAATCAGAGTAGGTACTGCAAATGAAAAAATGGACTTTCAATAGAGTTTAGAACTCTCTGAGACAAGAATCAAGGAACCAATGAAGATAATTTGCATCTTGGCATCTAGTTCTGTGTTCACGTTTGTATCACCTGCACTGCTGCTCAGTAAATGCTAAGAAACCAGGTGAATGAAAAAGCAAATGGTGCTAGAAACTCCAGACCTTTAGACTACTGAAAAGGCTTTGCGCCCTATGCATCTCCTCCATTTGTTAACAGAACGAAGCAAAAGTTGATTCTACAAAATGGGACATTTGTGATTTATTTCTGTCATTTGTTTTTAAGAACTAGTCAAAGCCGGGAAAACACCATGCTTCGAAATAAAGTGGGACAGTTACAGACAGATTATGATACTCTAAAAAGGCAAATTTCAACAGAGAGATATGAACGGTAAGAAAACATTTGTAGCATTGAACATTGTTTTTATGTATTCCCTATCCTGTTCTGAAAAGGACTTAGTATGGCTTGCAAGTAGCAAACTTACTCTTAGCATTAATTTGTAAAATAAAATTTTTTTTGGTAATTCATAAAAAGGCAACAAGTAGATGGGCACTGTAGCACAGACCCTGTAATCCAGCTACTTGCAGGCTGAGGCGTTAGGGTTGCAAGATTGAAGTTAGCCTGAATAATTTAGTGAGATTTTGTCTCAAAAAGTAAAAATGGCAGGGAATATAGCTCAGCAGTAGCGCACCCCTAGACTTCATCCCTTGTTCTATAAAAAGAAGGGGAGAGGGGACAAGTATTATGGAAGATTACATCCCTATAGTAAATAATAGCACATGTTTATAAATGGCTCTGTAGCATTCCACAAGGCAAAAGGCTATAGATAAGGAATCAGCAGCAGTCCCCACTGGAGTCCCCAAAATACAGTCCAAGTTGCAAGTTCCAGATAATCATAAAGGCAGTGTTAATGATCATCATCACAGGACCGGTTAACAAACACGTGCTGAGCACGTGCCTCATTAACCCTGTCAACACTCTCTTACGCCTACTTTATAGGAAATTGAGGTGACCTAGTTGTGAGTGGCGAGTCAAAACTAAAACACAGACATGTCTGTCTCTTTCTTAATCTTTATGGTTCATGTCCTGCACCTTAAACTTTTTATACTTACATTTCAGTTTATTTGCTTTATGTTCAAATTTTTAATCCCTAAATTTTACAGACACAAATGAAACCTTGTTGTGGTTGATACATTGGGGCAACTTGAGAAGTCTAGATGCTTAACTAAGTAACTCAGGAGTTCTATATAACTCAGCAGTTCTACATCCTAGTTTGTAGAGGACAGGCCCTTACTGCTCTAGGAAGTTGTTGGGCCGGGGAGATGGCTCAGTGGAATAAGCGCTTCCCTGGCAAGCGCAAGGACCTGAGTTCCTTGTGTCACTTTGAGTGTAGAAGGTTAACTAAGAGACTCAGCAGGGAGCCAGGGCCCTCCCTTTGTAAACCTCCTGAGCCTGTGCAGGAGGAGGGCAGGGAGGTGGTGTGGCTGCCCCACCTGCCCAGCCAGAGGAAAAGAGGCTTGCTGTGCCTCACTGTCTGCTCCTGTTGCCTTACTGTCTTCTGCTGCCTTGAAGTGTGTCTCCTGTGCCGGGCCACCCTGCCTTGGAGCCAGCTGCAGTCTACACTAACTGAGCTAAATAAGCCTTGACTTGGTTAGCTGTGGGTGTCAGGTATTTTGTCCCAGCAATGAGAGAAAAATAACTCAGACAGGCATGCTTTAAGAAATAAAGTTTTAAAGTAAATCAGCTGCCAAGTGCCCGGTTACCTTCCTCCCTTGTTCCCTCTCTCTTCCTCCATTTCTTCCTTCCTTTTATTATTATTATTATTTTCTTTTTTTTTTTAATACTGGAGATCAAATCCAGGGCCTTAAAATGAGCTAGATCTCCAGTCCTTTTCCAAAGTATTTTCTTTTGAGACAGGTCTAGCTAGTGTGCCTGTGTGCATCTCAAATTTGTGGTCCTCCAGCATCACCCTCCCAAGAAGCTGAGACTGCCAGTGTGCATTGCTCTACCAAATTCTTACTGTAGTTGGTGGGGGGTTGCAGGTTAGATGAGTTGTTTAAGCGCCTGCTCTGTCAAACACATTCAGGCACAGGGGACTGTGGTTTGATCCCCAGCTCCACATTCCTTACCAGACCCACCCTTAAGGCAGCCTGAGCCAACCCCCCCCAAAAAAAAAAATCCTATTCTGTATCTGGATTAATACCACGGCATCTTGGCTCCGTTCTTAAATGGTAAAACTGCTCATTATGTCAGCTTTTGAGTGCTTGTAGTATATCAAAATTTTCAAGTGATATGCTATTTAAAGTAGACAGGGAAATTGTTATAAAATCAGTATTTATGATTTCAGAGAAAGGAAGCCTTAGGTTACACCAATGACATGAAGCAATATTGTGAATTTCTTGTAATTTAGAAGATCTAGTTTCTGAATATGCTAAACTGTATGTATATAATGATTTTCATTTCTTACTAATATCTTAAGTTATGTGCTGTTTGAGGATCCGAATCCAGTTGTACATGGTCGCCCAGACCAAGGTTCCTCCTTAGTTTCTGCCCTTTTCCTTACCCTTTGCCCTCAAAGGAACTTGGAGCCACAGAGCCATGCCATTTCTGCTCCTGCTGTCCAACAGGCTACACATTCTCGCAGTGCAGTGTCACCCTACCCTAATAGGACAAAAATTGGTTCTGGAGGTGGGGCAAAGAGGTAGCAAAAACAGTAAAACCCTAGGTTACATACATAGGTTAATAATAATAAATGTGCACCATTAGGTGTATATATGAATGATAGTTTACCATAGCAAACTGTTGTAGTAGCGGATAATCTGAAAGGGGAAAGTTTATTGGAGGATAATTTGTTAGAGAATAATAATGACAAAAGTTTGAAAAACACTGAACTAAGTAGAAATCCTGGGTACTAAAGAACTCAAGGCACCTGGACCAGGAACTGGATAGCAAAGGAGATGGTAGCATGTTTGCTTTACATGGTGGGGCAGACCCCAACATAGGAAGGTGAGTGTGCTAAGGAGTGACCCCTTCCACTGAAATGTGGGACTGTGTAGGCAGGAAGGAGGGACAGGCTGTATGCAATAAGAGATGGGAAGAGGCGGAGAAGGGACTTGTCAGTGTAGAAACTCTTTACTCAAAGGGCCAACAAATGAATAATGATTCTTAGGAACTCATCTTGAGGATACACATACACACAGCTAACAACAGTGTTAACTAGGGGTAGAGGTCAGTGTGGGGTTTCATTGCCACACTGGAGGATGGAATGTACTTCAGCCTGGAATTGTTTGCTGGAATTCATAAATGAAGGTATTTGAGAATATATTGGTAGCCATGGGAGGTGCACCAGAAATCTTTACATGGACCTAGAGCACGGGGTAGAACTGAAGATGTGGACTTAGGAGAGTCATTGGCACCTAAAAGCATAGTCATTGGTTCATTTAAGAAGAGAATGTGATCGTAGCCCTGGAGAACACCAGAGTGAGGAGAGTAGACTCAGAGAAGAGCTCAGAGGGTTATATTCACAGAAGGAGAAGCAGGAGATGGTAGTGTGAGGGAAGCTAAGAGAGGATGCTCAAGGTAAGCAACTTCATTGTTAACATATAGACACTTGGTTTTTAAGAACGTACTAATAGGCTTGTTTTATTTTTTTAAGTATAAGAGAAAAATTTGAGTTCTCCAAGAGTCATTATTAACATTGTCAGTCTAGTATCTCTCCCTGTGTTCATGTCTGTGTTTTTCTGAATGTACACTGGGCATCCTACTTTATTTTACTAAATACACTGTGTCTATTTGTTTCTATAATATTATTTTAATGATGTCCCAGTAGTTAGATGTGGTTACAGCATAACTGCTTTCAATAGTCTCTTATAATGCTTATTTATTTATTTATTTATTTATTTATTTGGTGGAACCGGGGATTGAACTCAGGCCCTTGCGTTTGCCAGGGAAGTGCTTATTCCACTGAGCCATCTCCCCGGCTGCAATGCATATTTATATTAAAATATTTTACATACTATTTAAAAATCCTACACAGACATAGGGTTTTGTTTTGTTTTGTTTTAATGTATTTAAGGCAGGGACTGCAGGGTCTCACTACATGGATCTGACTCATAATGATTCTCCTGTTTTCAGCCTCCCAAACACGGGAATTCCAGGCATGCAGCACCATGCCCAGTGTCAATCATGGTCTCAGTGCACCCTGGTGGCAGGGTTAGCATGGCATGCCAGGGATCAAACCCCGGCCACTTCACTCTGCCTAAGCCTGTGCTTTAGTCCACTGAACTATCTGGCTGGCCCATAAGACATAGAGTTTTAATTTAGTAAAAATACTAAGTCTGGGCATGATAGCACACAACTATAGTCCTATTCTATGTACTTAGAGGCTGAGGTGGTAATCACCATAGTGAGATTCTGTCTCAAAAACAAGTAAAAATACTAAATAATTGACTTAGTAGACGTTAATTAAGAGCACACTAGCATCTTATACTAATGTGCCACTTTTCTGGTCTTCACTGTACATTCATATAATCTCTCATTTGATCTATAACAACAGAGAAAGAGCAGTCCAAGAGCTGCGTCGGCATGGCCTTCCTACGTCACCCCTTAGCTCCACTCTGAAGTCTCCTTCACATTCTCCAGAGCGTAAAGGTATGTATGTCACATCACAAACAGGCAAAACTAGTCTGTGGTTATAAAAACTCAGGACATAGCGTCTGTGTTGGGGGAGGGGAGGTTCCCTGGAAGTGTGTTCAGAACTTCCTTGAGTAATAGGCACAAGTATACATTTCCTTGAGCGTATACACAACTGGGTATACACTTATGATATACAGATCTCACTAAATAGAAATTAAGCCTGAATTAAAAAAAGAAAAAGTTGGATTAAACAAGAACTAAAAAGTGAGAGGGTTGAGAATAGAGCTCAGGGGGCTGGCCAAATAGCTCAGTGGATTAAAGGGGCCAGGGGTTTGATCCCTGAGCCTGCTGTGCTGGCCCCACCCCCAGGGCATGCTGAGGTGGGGATTTAGAGAATAGAGCTCAGTAGTATAACGCTTGTTTAACAAGGTCTTGGATTCAATCCATAGCCCTGTAAAAAAATAAAAGAAGGTAGACAGAGCAAAACATTAAGTTGATATGATGTATCACAGGTGGTATTCTATGAAGTGCCAAATTCCAGGTACAAATACTAGGCAGTAAAAGCTTGAACAAAGGCACAATAGACTCCTTTTGGCAGGAATGGCGTGCTGTGAAGGAATAAGGGAAGGAGAAAGGCTTAGAGGGTATAATTGGAGTGTGTGAAGTACATTGAATGAAAGGCTGAAGTGTAGAGGTTGTAGATCATTCTTTTATTTATTTTTTTAAATTGTTGTTTATTTTTTGGTGGAACCAGGGATTGAACTCAGGCCCTTGCGCTTCCCAGGCAAGTGCTTATTCTACTGAGCCATCTCCCCGGCCCCAAAGTTAAGGATTTTTTTTTTTTTTTTTTTTTTTGCTGGCTCAGGTTGCCTTAAGGGCAGGTCTGATAAGGCATGAGGATCTGGAGCTCGCAAACCACAGTATCCTGAGCATGACTGCATTTGCTTAAGCGGGCACTTAACTGAGCTAACCAGCAGGCCCCTGTAGGTCATTCTTTTAGTCAAGGGGAGCCCTTGTCGGGCTTCCTGTGTATAGGATGGGTAGAAAGATGGGGTTAAAATGGAAGAATCATTGCTGGGAGGTTAATACCACAACTGTGTTCTGGCCACTTTGGAAAGGGTAGGAACTACAGTTACAGAGACAAGAGTTTTGAAACAAATATAGTGTAATCAGTTTAGAATCAGTATAAAAATGTTAAAAACTATGACAGATTTTTTGTTGGTTTTTGTTTTGTTTTCCTGGTACTGGGGATCAAACTGAGGACCTTGAGCTTGCCAGGCAGGCACTTAAGCCACTGAGCTCTCTCCAGCCCTGTGGCAAATTTTTAAAAGTAAGTTATACCTACAAAAAGGTGTCCTGTCATAGGTGTGTCAGTCAGTGCACCTTCAAACAGAACGCTTGTAGCTGACAAGCACTCAGGTCATGAAACAAAATATTGATTCTCGTCTTAAAGACAGCAGTGTAAGCATGTGCTGTCCACACTGCCGGGGAAATACTTGAGAATCAAAAACTGGGATCTCATCTTACTAAAGAAAATTTTTGTATATCCAAAGGAATCACCAACAGAGCAAAAGGACAACCATAGAGTGGGAAACATTTTAACCAACTGTCTTTCAGACAAGATTTCTATCTAGAGCATAATGAAGAACTGAAAAAGATCGGGCCCCCCAGATTCAAAGACCCAATCAAAAACTGGGCATCTAAGTTGAATACACACTTCTCAGATGAAATACAAGTGACAAATAAATATATGAAAAATGTTCAATATCATCGTTCATTTGAGAACCGCAAATTAAAACAACATTAAAGAAACCAGATGTGGTGGTGCACATCTGTAATCCCTGAACCCAGAAGGTTGAGACAGAAGGATCTCTTCAAGTTTATTACCAGCCTAGGGGCTACAAAAATGAGCACAAGGCCACCCTGAACTGCATAGCGAGACCCTGTCTCTAAAAACAAACCCAAAAACTAAGATTCCTCCTGGCTCCAGAATTGGTATCATCCAAAAAAAAATTCAACCAATAATAACTGCTGGCAGGGCTGTGGGGAACCTTTCTCCACTGTTTGTGGGAATGTAGACTGGTATAACCACTGTGGAAATCAACAGAGTGATTCTTCAAAAAGCCAGGACTAGAGGTCCCATTCAACCCAGGTGTTCCCCTTCTTGGTATCTTCCCAGAATAATTAAAACATACCACAGTGATATAAGTGCACCTGTGCTTATAGCTGCACAATTTGTAATAGCTGAATCCTGGAAACAGTGTAAATGCCCATCAGTTAAGGAATAGATTAAAAAATGTCTCTATATAATGGAGTACTACTTAGCCGTAAAGGAGGATAAACTGGAGGCATTTTCTAGGTAATTGAATGCAACTTGAGACCATATTCATAAGTGAAATAAATCAAACTCACATGTGTAAACATGGTATTGTCTCCCTGGTATGAGAAATTGAAAAAGTAAAGTGGAGTGTGATAAGTATTATGAAAGGGAAGAAATGGTGGAAAAAGGAACTAGGATAGGGGAAAGGAAAGAAGGGAAAAGGGAGAAAAGATGCTAGTTCGTTATACTATCAGTTCTCTGAGTTCGTGAAAAGCGAAAGTTTGCACTAGTATCAAGTGGAGAATTTTTAATGCCCATATCTTATACTCTAAGTAATTACTTTAAAGATAAAAATATGTGATATATTAACTGTTGTTATTTTTCTATTATTTTGCTATGAATTTTTTTTTAATTTTTATTTTTATTTATGTGTGGGTGGGTGGGTGGGTGGGTGTGGCCAGCTCAGCCCACCAGGGGGCGGGGCTGGCTGGCATGTGGTGCTGGGGGATTGAACTGTGGTCCCTGTGCTTTGCTGAGCTTGTTCTAAGTAGGTGCTTTAGACCACTGAGCCATCTCACCAGCCACTGCTGTGAGATTTTATTTCACCTTTTTTCCATAAAATAAACAAGCCCTGCTCTAAAAGTGTCTTCACTGTAAAAAGCATAGATTCCTGTAATGTTTCTGGACATTTTATAAATGAAATACATTTGTGAGCGCCGCCCATACGGTTGTGCATGCTGTGCATCATTCAGCCCTGCTGCTGCACAGTCGAGGACCTTCTTGGGAGCCGGTCTCCATCCCTGCGCGGCCTCTGCAGTGGCCAGGCAGTCCATAGTTCACAGCTGAGCCGAGCCAGTAGTGCCCTGGGCTGCGCTAGGACTGAGGCTGCGGGTCGTGAATATGCATACATTCAAGCCCTAGTCACCTAGCGAGGTGTTTTCCAAGCATGTTAGGATGCATTTGGCTGAGGACACAGCAGAAGCTGTGCTGATCCACTGGAGCCAGAGTGCGTGGCTGAGCAGCGTGAGTCAGGCCCAGCATTTGGCAGGTAGACTGTGAAAGCTGCAGGCTCATTGACAACAACAGCTGAGCCAGTCTTTTTTAAATGGAGGCATTTCTTTGCCTCTTTTAGTAGAAGTCCTGCACATGGAAGATAATTAACATTTCCTCGATAACTCGGAGCCCTCTTCGTGAGTGTTGTTAAGTGCTGTGCTGTAACACACTGGCGCCCCATGCTTGTGGGGCTGAGGTTACACGCTTCCTGATGGCTGTGCTTTTGCTGTTGTATTTTGGCTGAAATGTCTCCCCTTTCACCTAGAGGACTACTCAGTGCCTGCTGTAGTCACTGTACTCACAACTGCTAAGTTGCTATGCTGTTACGAATGTGACTAGGTGGCTGTTCACCTGCTGGTAGAAAGTCTTATAGCAGTGTGACAGACATTTCCTCATGTTTGATTCACACGTGTAGTTTAGATCAGAGCTTGGTGACCTGGCATCATCCACAGACCAAAGCCTACCCCCTGCTTGCTTTTGTAATAGCTTCACTGTACCATGGCCACAGCTCCCATTCCTGTAAGACTGCTTTTCTTTGTGGTCAGAGCTAGCTAGGATAGATGTTTTGGCCTGCAAATCTGAAATATTTTCTCTCAGATCTTTAGTGTCATGGGGCCTCTGAAAAACTCACCTGTAAGCCTTGAGAAAACCAAAGTGAAGAGGCAAATGATTCTTCAGTACATGCTTGACCTTCTAGCATCCCTAACAGGGTTTTAGGGAATCTCCGGGATTCCCCTTCACATATTATACTGTTATTTTTAGGGGGTAGGGGAGCTAGGGTTTTGTTTTATTTGGTGCTGATTTGTTTGTTTTGAGACATGGTCTCCCTACAATACCCAGGGTAGCCTCAAATCTTCTGTCCTCCTGCCTTCTGCCTCAGCTTCGTGAGTGATGAGATTGTAGGGATGCTGAGCTTCTAAACTATAGGGAGTAGAGGGAGGATGGTTGGTTGGTTGGTTGGTTGGTTGGTTGGTTGGTTGGTTAGTTGGTTTTTTGACACAAAGTCCAGGCTTTCCTCAATCTCACAGAAATTCTCTTGCCTCAGCTTCCAAAGTGCTGGTATTACAGGTATGTACCACCATGCCTGGCCCCCAGACTATGCTTGAAAAACCACTATAGTACAGTGCTTGTGATCCCAGCTACTCATGAAGCTGAAGCAGAAGGATGGCAAGTTCAAGGCCAGCCCAGTCTACTTGGTGAGCTCTTTTCTCCAAATAAAAAAAAAATGGCTAAGGCTGTAATTCAGTGGTAGAGCACCCTAGGTATGATGCCCAGTACTACAAACAATAAAAGAATCACTGATATAGAAAATAGTGGATTCCTGCAATCCCTAAAGCTATGAAAAACTTTGTAAAAACTGTGAAGTACATAACATGAACTTTGCCATCGTAGCTTTTTTAAGTGTGTAGCCCAGTGGTACTCAGTGCCTATACAGTGTGGTGAGGCTGTGACCACGATTTCTAAAATCTATGCATTACCTTGAACAGAAATTCTTTGCCCATGAAGCAGTAACTCCTCTTCATTCCCATCTTTTCAGCTCCTGGTAACTTGTAACTTTTTATTTTGTGTATTTATTTTTTGTTTGTTCCCTAGTAACTTGTATTCTACTTTTCTGTCTCTATTAATCTGCCTAATATAAATTTTAATGTAAGCAAAATCGTACATTTGTCCTTTTATGCCTGTCTTATTTTGCTTAGGATAATGTATTTCAAATTCGTCTATTTGTAGGATACACCTTTTTTTCTTTCTCTTTTTTTTTTCATCACTAGATGCAGTAGGGCTGTTTACTTGTGGCTATTGTAAATAATGCTGCTCTGAATGTTGGCATACAGTGCTAACCTGTATTTTAGTCCGTATTTTCAAATGTTTTGTTATGTGCATAGGAGTAGAAGTGCTAGTTACATGGTAGTTGTGTTTAACTTTTTGAGGAACTACTACACTTTTCCATGTGGCTATATTATATGTGTTCCTATAAACACTGTACAAGGGTTTCTCTTCACAATATCATCAGTACTTATTATTTTATATTTTCTAACTTATACCCAGTAGCCTAACACATGCATTAGCAAACCCCACAGTTTTTTGTTTCATTCATTCTTTCTTTCTTTTTTTTTTCAGAACTGGGGATTGAGCTCAGGCCCTTGCGCTTGCCAGGGAAGAGCTTATTCCACTGAGCCATCTCCCCCGCCCCAAACCCACAGTTTTTAATTTGTTAATAATTTACAATTATCAGTATCCTACTGAGATCGTTAACTAGTAATCCATTTCCACTAGTATTTTCTAAATATTGCCACCAAAACTAATTTGCAAGGATTTTCCCTGTAAATGCTTAAATGAACTGTTAAACTTGAAGTAGTTTCTTATATCAGTGTCTAATGGTTAAAAATGTATAATCTAATCTATGATTTAACTTTTTTGACTATAGTTATCCAACACCAAAGACCTAATGTTCTTTGTACTGTCGCACTTGTAGTCCAGCACTTGTAACTCCAAGTCCTCTGTCATACATACCCCATTGGGGTAGCCTAGTTTGATTCTTTACGTTGTTACCTAGAGGTGATGTCAGACTACATTTAAGGGGCTCAGTGTCTCGAGGCCTCTTGCTCCCACTTCATGTGCCAGTTTCACATCCGCGGTGTGACCTGCCTCTCTCAGAAGTCTCATTCCTGGTCAGCAGGCTTGAACACAGGCACAGTGGCAGGCCCAGCAGAGGAAAGCTGCTCGGGTCCTGTGGTCAGCACACGGGAGGGCAGAGCTAGGGAGAGGTGCTGTACCTGGAGTCGTGCCCCAGTGACCTCCCTCTTCTGACCAGGCCCCACCTCCTTAGCAAGGTTCAGTCACCTTCCAAAACCCTGCCTCTGAGCACATGAGGCTTTAGGGAATGTTAGGGCCAAACAGAACACTGCTATGAATGCAGGTCCCCAGACCTCCTCCCCAATTCAGTTAATTTGCCAGAGCACTCAGAACTCCAGGAAACATTTCCTTATGTTCACCCATATATTTCAAAGGATCTTCGCAAACAGCTCAGGTAGGGTGGAAGGCATGCAGAGCCCCGTGCCCTCCCCAGCCCCATGGCTAGGAGCCTCCATGCCTGCAGCTTTTGGGAGGTTCCTGCCCAGGGCTTCTCAGCCTTTATGGAGCTCCTTACGCAGGTATAACCAACTGATTCACTCAGTGCAACTTTCAGGCCATCCTCCCCCCACCCAGATCATGCCCTTGTCTTTCTGGTGACTAGCCCAGCCTGTCTTGCCCTGCCCTGACCTGTCCTGTCCTGAGACTCACGAGGGGACCCTGAGCCACTGTCATCTCATTTGCACACAAAAGAGACTGGGGATATTCAGGTGCTGTGTCAGGATCTAGATACAGGAGACCAAGTAGGTATTTCTTATTACATCACACTTTGACACATGTTCTCTGTGTCTTTGACATGTGTTTCTTTACATGTTCTGTAAATTACAGAAAAGCATGAATAAGTCACCCAGAGCGGGCTTGCCATGTGTTCCTGGAGGTGGGCAGGGGCCTTACCTATAACTGTGCACCTTAGGTGTTGAGGGGAGGGAATGCCCTTAGTGTGATTCCAGTGTCTTGGGGTGTGGCAGCCTACTGTCGCACCACCTCAGCAGTTGTCTGTATCCTAGCTCCTTGAAATGAATTCATGTATTACAGTTTTTTAAAAAAGCAATCCTTCTTAACTTTACGAAGTAGAACAGTTTTAATATAACTGAACTTTGGACACAAGGTTTAAGAGACTAATTCAAAACATTGCTGACTTGCAGTTTTCATGAATATATTGAGTAACCTTGTTTCTCATATTTCTCTTTACTTCCTTTTCCCTTATCTTTTCAGAATAATAGTTTGCCATGAATTCCTATATGGATTTTTTTCAAAAGAGCACAACAGTACTGAACGATTTGAAGTATTCATTCCTGAAAATCATGAACATGGACACAGATTCTACCTCTATCAACTTTTATTTAAATCAGTGAATATTTATGTAAACATTTTTGGTTTAAAAGAATTGTATCTAAGTGTATATTTTCATATATGACAGAACAGATATGTATTAATAGTGCTTAACTGATGTGATATTTGTATTTTGTTGTTCTTAAATTCTTAAAATGTATTTATATTGTGAATTAATTTATTCACGTTATGCTTCCGTAATCTGTTTCCTAATGAGCCGTGATAAATGTATGTACATATTCTTACAATGCTTCTTTTTAACGTGTTTTCAGTTTCCATGCCTGTGTTTGTAACCCATATTATAATCTGTTCACAAAGAAATACCACCTTAGATGCTGCGCATCATGCTTTCTTTTAAATGCAAAATCAGTTATTCACGGATTTGCTGTCCATCATCAAGGGGAATATATTCAAGTCTAGTCAGTCTCAGAGGTCTTGATAAAAAAATTGTTGCCATGTGTAGTTAATTCTTGCCACCTAGAAAAACTGCTGAGCAAGATACCCTTATCTGTGCCGCATCATGGTGACTGTTACCTGGGCTTGTCACATAATACAGGGCCTATGAATGCAGACTACATGTCATATTTAGAGTTTTGTATAATGTAGAGCATAAGTTTGGGGCAATTTTTTCAGTAAATAAAATTTTTCAGTGTATTAGTCTAAAATTTCTAGCTATAAAGTATATGAGATAAACGTAAATCATTTTGGTATAATTCTAATATACATCAAGCCACATCAATTTCTGCACCTGTATGTTATAACTTGTCTTCAGAATACTATGCAGTCACTTACCCCAGATATAAGTTGAAAATAGCTCTTTACAATTCATTTTCAAAGTTGTAAGTTTTAAAAATTTATATATAACTAATAGAAGTACAAAAGAGAATATCAGATGAGAAATTTAATCGTGTTTAAACTGTACACATTTAAGAAAACCCTATTCTAATAAGAGTTCATGAGAAAAAAATTTTAAAAACAAACATAAGGAAAGTGAAAGACCAGCTACTTCTGTTTCTCCGATGGTTTAATAAAGCGGAGTTGCTGTGTGTTCCTGGACGTGGGCAGTGGCCTTATCTGTAACTAGTGTGCCTTAGGTGTTGAGGGGAGGGAATGCCCTTAGTGTCATTCTGGTGTCTTGGGGTGGGCTGTCCCACCGCCTCAGCAGTTCTCTGTATGCTATCTTGTTTGAGTGAATCCATGTATTACAGTGAAATATGAGAGAAGTGGGACTATTTGCAATGTCATATGGAAAATATTTTAATAAATATATGTAAATAAAGAATACTTGTCCCCACCTTTTCCCCCAAAGCAACAACAAGACATTTGGTTAAATACTTCATTTTAACATTTTTTATACTTAAAACTGTATAGCTTGCCATAATCGTTATTTTCATAACCATGATGCTATAATTTTTTAAACATCTTAAATACTGAATGTTTTGGCCTTTTAATGTTTTTAATTTTGTTTTAAATAACTTTGAATTATGGAGCTTGACGTAGATTTACCAATAAACATTTCAATTTATTTTCTCTTACAAAGTTTTTTTTGATAATTATATATTAGCAATAATCTTACTAAAATGTATTCAACTGAGACTTTATCATGGTGGACTTGGAGAAAAATCCCTGAATATAGGTGGATTACACTGAGGTAGATCCACAACCCTTTTAAAATTTTTAATTTTATTTTGAGACAGGGTCTCACGAAATAAGTTGTCCAGGCTGGGCTTCAATTTGTCATTCTCCTGCCTTAGCCTCCCAGATTTTGTATTTGACTGAATTTACTTTATTTCTAGTTAGAAAATCTAAGAAAGTTAGTTGCCAGCCACAATGGCTCATGGTGTGCAGAGGAGGAAGAAAGAGGAAACCTAGTTCCATCACAGAGAGGGCTGGAGGAGCCTTCTCAACTGAGAGCCCCCAGGATGAGGGAGCTCCCCAAGAATATCACCAAGCAGAGAACTTGAGCTTGCTTTAGAGTGTCAGTGTGAGGGAAAAGAAGAAGAAAAGCAGTTTAGACAAGAAGTCTCTCAAGGCCAGGGAATTTTCTTGCAGGAAGGGGACAGATAGGTGATGGCCAGGAACAGTGTGCTTTACCAGTCTTAACCATTCGCTATTCACAGATCCTGTGGGCTTCTGCATTGTGGCTGAACCATTTATTCATCCTCAGCCAAGTCCCCCACAGTGGCCCACATGCGGGGCTGAGGCAGGGACATCCAGCCTAATCTGGACAGTTCAGCAAGTGAGGGAGACCAAGTCTGAAAATAAGGCTAGGGATATAGCTCAGTGGGAGGGCCCTGGATTCAAACCTCAGTGATTTAGTAATCTACCAAGTGATTTAGTAATCTACCAGTGATTTAGTAATCTACCAAGAAATTGCATAAACAGCTGTGTGTGCACGTGACTTCATAAACATTTTCCCCTCAGGCAAATCCATTTTTAATATCATTGGACTGTGCCGCTCACCACCCCTTCCTTACTGTAATTTATCACACATTTGATCTCATATCCTGCCCCCAGTTCTTAGATCCTACCATGTGGCTTACTGTCTCTTGCATTAGTTCTGACATCAAGCTTTTTATGTTGGTGTCTTTGGACCAGGAGTTCTTGATGATACCTGCACATTGTACTGTCCTGGAGAATTTTAATCAAAATCTTGCAACCCCCAAACACTAGGCCAAATGAGAGCCTTTAGTATGAGGTGTGCTTTCTCATTTCTCATTTTAGACTCTAGATGATTCTAATGTGCAGCCAGGATTAACAATGGTAATTTTAAGAAGCAGACTTTCTAAGGCGATGTCATGACCCACTCATGGAGGCAAGTTTGAAGAACACTGCTCTAGATCTTAATACCTTCAAAACCTTGATTTCTCGCCAGGTGTGCATACTGGGAGGTAGAGGAGAGGTAGGAGCTCAAGGCCAGTCTGGGTGATAACAGGACCGTCTTGGAAAACAAAAATTTTCAAGATTTCAAGGAGCTAAGAGGTATAGTTCAGTGGTAGAACATGTGCTCAGCATAAGTTTGAGGCTCAAGGTCTAAGCCCAGAACCAGCAAGGAAAAAAAAAGCATTGAAAAATCAAAGCCTTTTTACCAAGATGGCGCTGAGGGCGAAGAAGGGAGCCCCTCCCCCTCCCAAAGCTGAAGCCAAAGCAAAACCGCACTGAAAGGCATCCACAGCCACAGAAAGAAGATACAAACATCATCCACCTTCTGCAGTCCCAAGACGCTGCGCCTCCGGAGGCAGCCCAAATGCCCTCGGAAGAGCGCCCCCAGGAGAAACAAGCTTGACCACTATGCCATCCTCAAGCTCCTCCTGACTACAAAGTCAGCCATGAAAAAGATTAAGGACATGATTGAACTCATGTTCATTGTGGACGTCAAAGCCAATAAGCACCAAATCAAACAAGCTGTAAAGAAGTTCTGTGACATCGATGTTGCCAAGGTCAATACCCTAATCAGGCCTGATGTAGAGAAGAAGGCATATGTATGACTGGCTCCCAATTATGATGCATTGGATGTTGCCAACAAAATTGGGATCATCTAAACTGAGTCCAGCTGGATAATTTTAAATATATACTTTTTTTCCTGTAAAAAAAGAAAAATCCTCAAACTTTGGCATCTTATTCTTGGTGAGTTACTGTATTTGTTACATTTTTCCCAACAATTTTTCCCTATACCAGGTCTCCAGACAATTGATTTCATCATACAGCCTTGCTCACTTTCTTCCCTATTCACCATAGACGTCACCATTCTTACACATAACCTAAATTCTCTTGTCCTCCTCAGTTGAAGACTTGAATGTTCTTTATATCTGACTACTCTCACTGAACAGAAGCCGCTCGCCATGCCCAGAGAAACATGTGACTATGCCACCTCTTAAAATTCGTGATCCTGAAAATTAAGAGCCCCCAGCCCTGCGTTGCCATCCTGACCTGATTTCCTGATTACTCCACACTCACTTCTCTGTAAGAAGCGGTCACACTGTCCTCCTCCACTTGGGCCTTTATCCTCCCTGTTCTTGGCTTGTTAAGGTTGGTTTGTTTTTTTTCTTAACTGAGAAAGTGAAAACAGAAATTTCGCACTCCAAGTCCTTTAACATCATATGTTTGTAGAGCTATAATTTCCTCTTTTCCTATTAAATCTTAGATGGTCTCTATCTTCTCATTCCATCTAGTTGAGACCAGGATTCATCTGTCCTGTTCCTCAAAGACTCCTGCAATGAGCGCCACATTCGTGAGTCCTTTTGGCTCTGTTGGTTTCTTTATATTTGCACATAAGTCTCCCATTTTCAATCTCCCATTTAAAAACCTTCCTCAGAAGAAATTAAACAAGCGAATAAATATATGAAAAAATGCTCCACATCGCTAGCCATTCGTGAGATGCAAATTAAAACCACATTGAGATATCATCTCACCCCAGAAAGAATGGCTATCATAAAGAAATCACCCAACAACAAATGTTGGAGAGGCTGTGGGGAAAAAGGAACCCTTCTCCACTGCTGGTGGGAGTGTAGACTGGTGCAACCGTTATGGAAATCAGTATGGAGACTCCTTAGAAAAGTTGGTTTGGAAGTCCCCTTTAAACCAGCTATTCCTCTACTGGGAATTTTTCCAGAGGATCTGAAAACATCATATCATAGGGATATATGTGTTCCTATGTTTATAGCAGCACAATTTGTGATAGCCAAATCTTGGAAACAACCAAGATGCCCATCACCTGAGGAATGGTTGAGAAAGATGTGGTATTTTTACACAATCCACCACAAGAATAATATACTGAAAGCTGCTAGAGAAAAGAAGCAGCTCACATTCAAAGGAAAACCCATCAAAATTATGGCCAGCTTCACTTCATAAACCATGAAGGCAAGAAGAGGATGGAACAGAGTACTTCAAGTCCTCTATGAAAATAAATTCCAGCCCAGACTACTATACCCTGAAAAACTCTCTTTCAAGTTTGATGGAAAAGTAAAATATTTCCATGACAAAGAACAACTACAGAATATCATGATGACAAAGCGAACCCTACGCAGGCTCCTGAAAGATGTTCCAGAGAGGGACCAAAATGGTCAGAAACCCACAAATGAGAACAGAAGCAACCAACTAAAGAGAGAAAACAATTAAACACAGGAGAAAAAGGAGTAAACAGCAGCAGGTAAATAACATGTCAATCATAAGTCAACACATCTCAATTATAACCATCAATGTAAATGGACTCAATTCACCAATTAAGAGAAATAGACTGGCACAGTGGATTAGGAAACAAAATCTAACAATATGATGCATATAAGTAACACATTTAGGTCCTGGGGACATAGCTCCACAGAATAAGTGCTTGACAGGCAAGTTCAAGGGGCTGAGTTCAATCCCTGTCTCCACCATAAATTAAAAAAAGAAGGAAAGAAACACCTTTAACACATAAAGAAATGCATAGGCTAAAAGTCAAAGGATGGAAAACAATACTACATCCCCAGCACCTCAGAAAAAAGCAAGGGTAACAATCCTGTTCTCAGACAGTCTCAACTTCAAACCAACAATGATCAAGTGAAGTAAAGAAGGCCACTATATACTGGATAGGGGAAAAATTCAAGAAAAACATGTAACACTCATAAATATGTATGCACCAAACATGGGAGCACCCAACTATATAAAACAAATCTTAATGGAAATGAAAAATCTAATGTCCAGTACCATAATCTTAACAGGAGACCTTAACATCCCCTTATCCCCAAAAGATAGGTCAACCAGACAAAAATTTAGCAAAGAAATGACAGAACTGAACTAGAGCTTGAAACAAATGGACTTGCTGGACATATACAAAGTGTTCCACCCAAACACAGCTGAATACACATT